TATTTTTATAGTTATTCTTTTAAGCCCTCCTGTCGCAGACTGTCTCCTTCCTGCGCAGCAGGTTTCTAACCCCCTCTGGTCTGCGGGGTCACAGCTCTGGCTGCAGATTTCCGGGCTGCCCTCTGCCCTCCCATCGGGCCAGGAGGATCAAGGGCCCTGCCTCCTTTCATCTTTTCACACAAATATGCCGGGACATGGCTGAAGGAGGACTGTGTTGGAGGGGGGAGGGCAGCTCTGCCTGCCAGTGACTCTCTGTGTGACCTTGGGCGAGTGTCTGTCCCTCTCCAGGCCTCTCCTGTGGCTGAAGGCGGTGATGTGATCAGTGGCTGTGTTTCTTGGCACCTGGCCTTCACATGAGCCTTGTGGGGCCGGGCGTCTGCCCCATTTTCACATGGGCTGATCTGTTCGGCCTTTGACGTCCACTTTTTGTCTCCAGACTCCAGGCTGGGCAGAGATGCGCTTGAGCCCAGGTTTCCCACCCGGGACCTGGACACACAGCCCAGCAGATGAAGCTGTGAGGTTTTGGTTGTGCGGGGCCATGCTCAGTGGTCAGCGCCATCTGTATGCCATCACTCGGCTCCGCCTGCTTAGGTGCTGCTGTCTCCATGCCTTCCCTGGCGGGCGGGCGGGTGCTGGAGGGACCGGCCCGCAGCCTCCAGGGAGGACATGCTCACCCGCTCCCAGCTCCTCTGACTCTCCTGCGGCTGGGGACGCGTCTATAGTGTCTTGGGTTTTAGGCCTCCAAGCCAGCTTGGCCTCACGCCCTGGAACATAGATATGTGCCCACGCACACACACCCATGTAAGCCGAGTCCTCCGCCTCAGCTGGATCCTGGCTGGTCCTCAGCTGTGGCTGCCATCGGCACGGAGGCCTCGTGACTGCTCCCTCCCTGCCCCCGTCTGTCCTCGCCTCCACATCTCCCCAGGCCAGGCTCTCTCACCATCCTCAATGGCTCCCCCGTGCCTCCGGACAGAAGCCAAGCCTGGCATTCCGGGATGCTCGGGGATGCTCACTTCCCCACTCCCAGCCCATCCACCATGTTGTGCCCCATGAGCACCTGCCTGGAGTTCCAGACACAGTGGTTTCCCAGCCTCTGTCTTGCTTATGCTGTCCCATTGCCTGCACACCTGTCCTGTCCCATTCTCCCCTGGCCACCATCTCAGGCTTCTACACTCTCCATAGACGACCCCCCCAACACATGCTGGGGTGGGAGCCCCTCTAGGCCCCTCCAGCCACTGTGCTTGCCTATCTCTGACTGAGAGCTCCTCCTGGCCAGATGCCAGCCCTGGTTTGCTCACTGCTGTGTCCCTAGCACCTAGCACAGACCCCAGCACATAGTAGATGCTCAGCAAATATCTACTGACAGGAGGAGGGAGGAATGTGGTCTAGCCAGGGCTAGGGGATGGTGAACAGTCCAGGCAGAGGGACCAGCATGTGCAAAGGCCTCAGGAGGAGGAGCTGCTATGTGGAGGGACAGCAGGTGGCAGGCTTGGCAGAGGAGGGAGGGGGACCAGCGCCTGCAAACTGGGACATCTCTATGTAAACTGTGAAGTGCAGTGCCAGAGGAGGTGCCTAGTCCACTCCACAGCCTCAGGCTAGAGCCTGCCCACCCCTCCAACCCATTCTGTAGCTCTGAGCCTGGTGGCTTCATGTAAACGACTCACAGCCAACCACGTGGGGCATGGCAGAGCTGGTCTGGAATTCCCCACTGAGCGTCTGTGATGGGTCCAGCTTCCCAGTTGCTGCTCCAAGGGTGATCTGGGCTGGGCCTGGGCGTGGCAGATTGGCCACCATTGAGCCAGAGCCACCAAGGCTGTGGGTGAGGTAAGGGCAGCACCCCTGATCCCATGTCACAGCTCTGATCTGTAGGTCCCTGGCCAGTCATGTGAGGCCAGGTGTCCCCCACATTCTCCCTCCTGCCCTCAACTGTGGCTTTGACCCAGGTGGAGAGAAGGAGGAAAGAAGAAGTTTCTGGAGACAGAGGACTGTGTACAACCAGTGCTCACCATCTCAACAATGTTGACATCAATAGTATCTATCAGCTGCTGGGCGCATTGGGCTGGGAAGTTGTCCCTATTGGGGTTCCGGGCCTGGCCCAAGGCTATGTATATAGTCAGTGGTCAATAAATGTTTGCTGTCCATTAACAATAATGAAGGTATTAAGCAATGAGTTGCTGTTTTACTAATAAACAGAATATTTTAAGCAAAATAATGCACAAAGAGTTATTATCCACTAGGCCAGACCAGAAACTCCCACCTGCATAATCCTGGAAGCTGGTGGGGTTGTTACCCACATCTTGGTGATGGGTAAACTGAGGCACAGAGAAGGTAGGGTCACATAGTCAGCGATGTGAGGAGTTGGAACTCGAACTGTTGTCTGTGGCTCCCAAGTCAGTGTGTTCTCCTGGGCAACTTAGTGGTGCCTACTCTGTGCTGGCCATGGGCCACGGTCGCTGCCCTCAGGGTGGGGACAGACACACCCAGAGTGGACTTGGGATGTGCCTCCATGGGGTGTGTCAGGAAGCATGCAGTGGAGGAGGTGGTGTTAAAAGGACAGGGAAGACTGGGAAGCTCGGGACAGGGGGTGAGCCCTGCTGGCAGGGGTTCCAGCCTGAGCAAAGGCCCAGAGGGCTGGTTAAAAATAAAGAGCGCTTCGAAAGCTCAATAATGAAACCACTGTGCCGGCCACATCCTCCCGAGATCTTCGTTTGGCCGCTGAGCCAGACCCTTGAAGCCGGCGGTGGCTTCAGGTGGAAGGCTTCCTCCGTGCTCGTAGAGCCGATTCGTGTCTAAGTTGCCCCCTCTCTGGTGAGAGAGGGTGTAGGGGTGTGAATAATAATGACAGCTCACACATGCTGAACGCATAGCACCTCCTTTCATCCTCCTGCAGGCCTTCTGAGCGAAGTGCTATCTTTGGCCCATTTTGCAGGTCGGCATACTGAGGCTCAGAGAAATGGCACACTCAGGGTCATATATCTGAGAAGTGGCAGAATCGAGACTTGAACCTAGGTCTGTGGAGCCAAAGTCTGTGCTTTTAAGCTTTCCTCTCAGCCCTAGAAAAGCCCAGAACTTTCTGTTGAACCCCTGGGGATGAATTTAACGATGTGCTGGTAAATGTTTAACAACCAGCTCTCCGAAAGAAAAAAAAAAAAAGATTTGATTTGTAGCGCTTGCTGATTTCCAGGGTGTAAATACCCCTGTGTGGCTGATATGAAGCTACCGACGTGACGTCACTGCATATGGAGTTGGGAAGAGATCAGCACAGTAAGTTCTCGCAAGTGGTAAGAGCCGGCTCCAGCACGTCACGGGATGAATATCCCTCCCCGCTGCAGCCCGGTATGGCCAGTAAAGGCCTTCAGACATGTCTGAGGAGTGAGGGCTGAGAAACCTGCTCCTCCAGCCAGGGACCCGCCCTGGTCCTGGGAAGCCGCGTTAATCTTTAAGCCAGCCTTGCAAACAAGCGCCGCCGTTTCACCAGCCCAGGCCGGCTGCCGCTGCTGGCTCTGCGGCCGACCCGCTGTGGGACCTCAAGCAGTCCTACCCCCTCTGCCCCTCTGGCCTGCGTTTATCACCACGAGCCCTACTATTCACTGAGCGTAGCCCTGGCCGCCCTCACACTTGCCAGTTCTAACCTCACCGGGAATCTCCTCTGGCCCTGTTCGCTCTGGTTTTCTAGGGGAGGGGACGGGGCTGGGGGCGTGGATGGACTTCTATGCAGCATAGGGCCTTGCTCATTCCTGGTTTCCTGGAAGGTATGTCGTACCCTGAGGTGTTTGCCTCCCACGTTCTAGGGTTCTAGGTGCTCCTCCCAGCTCCTCTCTGCAGGGCCCTTTGTCCAGGGAGGAGAATCCCAGACCTGGTGCCACTTTGACTGGCTGGGCCTTAGTTTCCCATCTGTGAAATGGGAGCATTTTCCAAGAAGGAACATGGAGGCAGGTGATGGTGTTTAAAGCTGGATTCAGGCCCACCTTTTCCCATGCCATGGTTCAGGGAGGACAGGTGAGGAGCTGAGTGTGGGATGCCCACCCCCAACAGGGCAGCCCTGGAGCCTGGGCCAGGGGGTCCCAGGGAGCCCTTGTGGCCTAAGGCAGCATTTCCTCAATGTCTCGTTTTTCTGCGATACTTCCTGTCCCCTGGGTCCAGAGGTACTTGGCCTCTTTATTTACCTGGAAGTGTGACTGCCACTGAAATGCCAGTGTGAGCCCCCCTAAGCAGTAAAATCCACAACTCGCTGACTCCTGACGGGCTGCCAGTTTTTTCTTACACACTTAAAATGAACGCATGTCTATTAAAGTAAATGTGGCTCCTCCTTGCCCTGTCCCTCCTGCCCCAGTCCCCACTTTGAGGAACCCAGGTCAAGGACAAGGTCCAAGGTCCAAGGCGGGTTCTCGTCAGTGCCTCAGTTTCCTCATCCCTACAGGTGATGCCCAGCCGCCCAGCCCCGCGGTTGTCAGGATTAAATCCTCCTGTCGACCTGAGCGCTTGGCATGGCGCCTGGCAAGGAGCGAGGGCTCCATTCGTGCTGATGTTATTATTACTAATAATAACTGCGGGAGAGGTGGATTTGGGGCATACCGGGTGGGTGGGCTGGGGAGTTAGGGAGTGCGCTGTGGCCGAGGACCGATGGGGACCGGCGGGCGGGGGTGCTCATGCGCGAGTGGGGGGCGGGGCTCCTGCACCCGACCCCGCCCCGCCCGGACCCCCGGCTCGGGCCACGCCTGGGTCTGTCCCAGGTCACTGGCTGAGAATCCGTCCCCGCGCTTCCTCCTTCCTCCTCCTCCCGGCTGCCTGCCGGGCCCCTCCTCCCTGCTCGCGCGCTCCCTCCCTCCTCCTCCCCTCCCCGGGCCGCCGCCGCCTCCTCCTCCTCCCTTTCTCTCTCGGTCTGTCTCTCCCGGCCCGGAATCCATTCCGGCCTGGGAGCCGGAGCGGCCAGGCCGCCGTCTGCCGACCCGCTGGCCGTCCGGCGGTCCGCCCTCCGGTGCGTCTGTCCGCCGGTGCGCCCGGCCGCCCGCCGGCCCAGGTGAGCGGCCCCCGCCCCTCCGCGGGCTCCCGGTCCCGGCCCGCGTGGGGGGCTCCCGCCCGGGACCACCCTGGCGTCGGATCGCCGGCCCGCGGCGGCTCCCGCCCACCCCCCACTCCCCAGCCCCGGCCGAGCCGCGATCTCGGAGCGCAGGGCGGGCGCACGGGGACGTGCCCGGCGCGGCCTTTTGTTGTGATGCCGCGGGGGGAGGGGGCTGGGCGGGGGACGCCGGGGTCCTGGCCGCGCGGGGACCCCTGCAGCTCGCGCTCCCCCTGAGAGCCCCCAGAGAAGCGGGCGAGCCGGGCCCTAGCCCCCGGCTAGGTCTAGGCCAAATCTGAAATCTGAGCCGGTCGGCGCCGCCTCTGGTCGTGGCTGCCAGGCCCTGCGCCCCCCGCCCGGGTGGGAGGTGGAGGTCCGGCAGGACCGGCTCAGGGGCCCCTGGGTTGAGGCGCTGGTTTGGGCCACCAGGACCTCCCTGCCTTCGTGGGGCCTCTGGTAGGGCCTGGTGCTGCCGGCCCAGAAAGGACTGGGCCAGACTGCGTTCTGTTCCTGCTGCCCCCAGCCCCCAGTCTTGTCCCTGAGCAGGCCCAGCCACTGGCCCACTCGAAGTTGGCAAAAGTTTTGGGTGTTCGCCACTGGGCCAGGTCCACCTGTCTGCTTGGGCTGGGGGTGAGGGTGGTTCTGAGTGCCTGCCAGGGATACTGCTTGCTTTGCTGTGTGTCCTTAGGCAATTACCTGCCCTCTCTGAGCTGGGGTCCTCATCAGTAGCAGGTGGGCCCCACTGGGATTGCGGGGCTGGTGGAAAGATGGGGGTGAACAGAAGGGGCTCACCTGTGGGGCATCTGCCGAGCCCCTGGTGCTCTCGATGGACTCAAGTGCAGACAGAGCATGTGTATGTAGCCCCGACAAGGCTTCCTGAACCTCAGGGACTCTGTACAATTGGGGCAGTGGTCACTGGGCCACCTGGGTGAGTCCAGACCCAGCCCCAGAACTGCTGAGATCAGACTTGGTTTCAAGAGTGGGCCAGGCTGGGAGTCAAGACACCTAGTCTTCTGGGCGCACTGGGTGACCCGGGCCCAGGGACTGCCTCTCTAAGTCCCCATATGTGAATTGAGAATCCTCAGGCGATGATTCTGTGCACTTCTGCATGGAGGGGCTTGACATGTAGTAGGTGCTCAATAAATGAGTCCTTCCCGGGATGAACTGCCTAAGAAAGATGGGCGGGATGTGAGGTTGCTGGCTGGAGTGGGGCTCAGCCCCAGAAGAGGATGGATTGGTGCCCGAAAAGGTGCCTCACAACGCCTTGAGGAAGAAGCCACCCCAGCACAGTCCTGCCGCCAGCAGCTGTGTGACTGTAGGCAACTCACTGTTCCCTCTGGCCTCAGTTTTGCCAAGTGTAAAATGGAACAATAATAATGATAGCTGCTGACATCTATTGGACACTTCTTAGAAGGTAGGGACTCTTGTTTATCCTCATTTTGCTGAGGAGGAGACTGAGGCTTAGAGAGGGGAAGTGACTTGACCAAGGCCATACGTTTGAGGCTGGAATTAGGGCCTAGACCTCAGAGACCCCAGTCTGGCTGCCCTTGCACCCCGGTGGTGATGGGGGAGCAGGGGTTGCCCAGTACAGGACCAGGCCCGCGACAGCATCGGAAAAGAATATGCTGATGAGTGATGGCGTGGAAGCCACGAGGCCCTTTCGGTGATGTGGTGATGTGGTCTTTCCACCCAGGGAAATGATTTATAGTGTGTCACCTCTCTCAGCTGACTGTCTGCCTAGGCCCTCCTGTGTGCCCCTGGGCCTTTGCTCCTGAATGTGTCCCGCCATGATGCCCTCTCCTCCCTGAGCTGGTTATCTGCTCTTGCTCTGCAAGACTTAACGTAGGCCCGCCTCTCCCAGGAAGAGAGAACCCCCCTCTCTCCTGTCCCCTAGCCTCTTCTTGGAGCATGAATTATCCCCAGTACACAGCCTAGCTCTTGCTTTTGCTTCTCTGATTGTGACCTGGGGGCTCGGGGTGGCAGATGTCTGGCCCCCCAAAGCCCCAGGAACCAGAGAGGAGATGGCTCAGTGACCTGCTGATGGACCCCTCCACCCCCCTGGTCCTCAACTGATCCCATTTTCCCAAACCTGCCCAGATACAAGCATCCATGACCCTGTATTGAGCACCTACTATGTGCTAAGAGCTTTGAACTCAGGCTGAGCAGTATTGTGATGGGGTTAGCTGTGAGTGGGAATTGTGGGGGGCATTCAAGGCTTCTAGGAGGTGGTGTCTGAGCTGAGGAGGCACAGGAGTTCACCCAACAAAGAAGAGGGGAGGAAGCTCTTGTTTCCCCTCTTGTTCAGACACTTCTCAGGGCCCCTGGGGTTGTGGGGAGTGGCCAGCCTGGCTGGGTACTTGCTGGGGAATTGTGCACAGGTCCTTGGCCTTCCAGAAATTTGAATCTGGAGGATGAGCCAAGTAGCGAACAAGTTGCCAGATAAATTAATATATAAGCACAGATATGATAAGGGCTCAGAGAGAGAGACCGGGAGTACTGAGGAATCTTGAAGGAGGTGTGTAGGAGTGGGCCAGGCATGGAGTTAGGGAAAGGGTTTGCCAGACAGAGGGAAGTGCATGTGCAAAGGCCCTGAGGTAGGGAAGTGTGTGCTGTTGTGAAACAATGGGAAAACCTGTTGGGCTAGAGCATGGAGAATGAAGGGGAGGGGTGTTATCAGCAGGGCTGGACTATGCAGGGGGCCGTGTGTTCCTTGGGCGGGAGTTTGGCCTTCATCATCACACAGGGGGCTGATTTGTGTCCCCTGTGTGAACAGCCCCATGCTGGAGGCCAGAGATACAGAGCAGACCAAGGCACCTTGATGGGTACAGATCTGCGGGCTGGACTCCGATATTCTATGGGGGCCTGGATCAGATCTTAAGAGGAGGAGGCATTTGAAGTTGGGCTTTGGAAGTGGGATAGGAGTTTGCTAGCAGGAAGGCCAGAGAGGGTGAGAGCCAGGGGTTAGGGAAGCACAGTACAGACTGGCTGGAAGCCGGAGTGAGGTGAGGAACAGAGAGGGGTCAGCTGGAGAGATGGAGACCAAAGACGTGGTAAGGACTCAGGAGTCAGTTCAAGTTCTGACCGTCCCTACTTGCTGTGTGTCTTTAGGTCATTCATTGTATCTTTCCGAGACTAGTTTCTTTGTCTTGAAAATGGGGACAATAAATATCTCCCTGTCAGGTCAGGGCTAAAGGAGGGCTGTATGCCCAGTGCCTGGCACCAGTAGGTGCTCAGAAAACGGGACCTGCTTTGTGCTGTGTTACATTGGGCAGATCAGTTGGCATCTCTGGGTCTGGCCTTGCCAGCTGTGCGGTAAGGCCTTGAGTGATGATCTCATTGAGTATGAAGGTGCCGGTCCAGGCAGGGCTGGCCTAGGAGAGCATGTTGGCAGCCAAGGCCACCAACGTGCTGGGTGACCTTGAGCTCTGCCCTGCTCTCTGTCTGTGTCTTCTCTGTGCGAGGAGGCTGAACTGGGGAGAATGCCATAGGTCTAGCCCAGCCCTGCTTCTTGAAAGTCTGCCTTGGGTGAGGTTGGCCCCATTTTCCAGCTCTAAGACCCAGAGAAGAAAAGCCACTTGCTTTGGGTCTCCCAATTGCCAAGTGACAGGGCTGGGCCTAGGCTATAGGGTTCTGGGCTCCTAGTCTAGTGCTCAGCACCACCAGAAGCCTCCCAGGTCTCTGTAGGCTGTAGAGCCACTACAGAGGGCCTTCATGCCCCTGCTCTGGGCCTTTTGTCCAGAGCCTCACTTCCTGCCCGGGCTTGTGGCCCCTGCACCTCTATCTCCCTTCAAGTTCCCACAGGCCTTTACTTCCCCTCCCCCGCTCACCCCTTTATCTCCATGGCAAACCTCTCTGGTTTCCCCTTGGATAGCTCCTGTGGTTGTGGTGGGGAGGCACTTCCTCTGGGGAGCCTTAGTTTCCTCATCCATGAAGTGGGATAGTGAGTCATGGTTCCTGAGATGTCCTAAGAGGACAGAAATAAAGTGCTTTGCACACATTAGGTGCTCAAGAAATAGGGCAGAGAAGAGCCAGACCTGCTCAAGTTCTGCCTCCTTTGGCAATGGATGCCCCCTTCCTGTGATTCTGTTTCTGAAACTGTAAATGGGCATAGGGCTTGCACCTAGTAGGGCTAAGGAGAGGATGGCGAGAGGCTGTGCCCAAGGCCCTCACCTGTGTTCAAGGCCTCATTCTGAGCTGTGTGTCCAAAGGCAAATCACTTAGCCTCTCTGAACCTCAGCCTCTGCACACCTTCCTTGTGAGGATTAAATCAGCTAACATATTCCAGTGGCTTGAATCTACTAGATGCTCAGTAAATTATACATTTTTCCTTCTCTCTTCTCCTCCCTTGTGGAAGTTTAGATATTATCCAGTCTAGAAATGGCCCAGGGCTTAAGTCCCCCAGACCTGGAGTGCTGTGTTGAGAAGTGTTCTGAGGTCCAGTCTTGGCTTCATGGGAAAGAGTGCTGTGATAGATTAGTAATGTCTGCCTTGGGTGGAGGATAAGAGAGTATTGTACGTATGCCATGACAGTGTGTCATTCCTAATCTATTCTGACCTTCTCTTTTCACAAATGAGGGAATTGAGGCCAGAGAGATCCAGGGCAAATCGTCCAAGCTGGGGGAAAAGGCACATCTCTTGTCTTTCGTTCCAGGACTCTCCCCAGCCAGCCAGCCTGCCCCTTCCCACAGTACAGCCGGGTGGGGCTGAGTCGAGGGACAGATGAACGGGGAGGACCCCAGAGCTGGAAGCCTTCAGGACCTCCATCTCCCTACTCCTTGCTGTGGGTCCTTGGGCAAGTGATTTCCCCCCAACCTTGGTCCCTTCCATCCTCCCTCCCCCTAGAACTACCCAAATAAGTTCCAGAATAAAAGGAGAAGCTGGAAGGGAGAAGTTAAATGATCTTGGCCAAATCCCCTCCTGGTCCTCAGTTTCCTCATCTGTACAGTGAGGGTGCTCCCCTC